ACCTGAGCTTCTGATTGTACTGTCTGACCTTTTCCAGGGAGGCTGTGTTTATCTGGGCTTGAAACTCTTCCACGGACAGGTTGTCTCTATAGGAATATCCTTCCATGCTCTCCAGGGCTGCAGAAACACATTAGCCAATTACACACAATCTTATAACTTAGTCTCTGTGCCTTTCCTCTAATCCTACCAATTTCCAATAGATACACCAGAGTGTCCAGTATGAACATGTATTCAACAAATGACCCCAAAAGTGAATAAAAATGCACGTCAAACAGTTGGTGAAATCTGACTTTTGGTTAAGTAGGCAAAGAAAATTTCTGGTTTAAACTATCCTCTATTTTTGAAACATTTTGAATGCATTGTAGAAAACTAGACTAAGCCACCGAAAAATACGAGGACTATTTTAAGCTGATTATTCTAAGAAAGTGCAGACACATGAAGTATTCTGGAAACAAAGTAAAACTTAAGTCTTTTTCTAAGAGGAATTTGTATCCAAAACAGAAGCCTGCAGTGTGTGTGTGTGTGTGTGTGTGTGTGTGTGTGTGTGTGTGTCTCTGGTACTGGAGTGGGAGGATAGGGTGAGGGTGGGAATCTGTATTTGCATGTACATCTCCACTTCTGCACCATGAAGAGAAAGGGGAGAAATCATAAGAGTGTCTTGTCCCTGCACAAGTCCCTGAAATAAATTCATACAACTCTCATCCTTATTTCCTTGTCACCCCTCATAATCAGGCCTTTCACCCTATTTGTTTCTATGGACATGCAGACGGCATTCTATTCTCATGGGATGCATTCCAAATCAGAGCTGCAGTAGATACTAAAACCAGGGATTCTATTGAAGCCTGTGTGGATTTACACACCGAACACACACACACACACACACACACACACACACACACACACACACACCACTTCTATAGTGCACTTTCCATTTTCACTAAGCACATATGCACTGCAGCTTTAACTTCCACGATAGTAGAAACACAAGAATACTTCAGCTTCATCATATTATAGGCAGAGGAGCTAGTCTTACTCTGTGTATTACTTAGTTGAGAGTCTTAACCTTTTCCCCAGGAAGGTGGCATTTTATGCCTCCCTTCAGCACACCCATTTTGCCAGCATCATTATTTTTGCATGTTGGGCCATTAGTCATTAAAATCAGGGTTAGTTGACACTGAACACTTGGACCCTGTATAGCCAATGCCCTGATAATTAAGGTCAACCAAAAGTCTCATGGGTAGGTGGCTTACACCAGCATGGATACGATCATCAAAGGCTGATCATTCACATGTGGGTTAGACAAACATCACACTATTCAGAATGGTGTGCAAATGAAACCACTTATCAGAATTCTTCATTTAACTCTTTTAGTCTACGGTTGCTGGCTGGTGTATAACAACACAGAAAGTGAAACAGCAGACCCTAGTTAAGCTTAGGGACAAAGCTGAAGAAAGGCTCCTGACTCAATGATATTTTGTGCCACTTTGACTCTACTTTGTCTCAAATAGTAATTTCCTCCAATGTTACACTCTTCTGTAGTTACTTTAGATTCTGGAAATGGTAAGACTGATCAACAACCATCATTATGATAACTGCCCTCAAGGAACCTGCAAGCCTTGGGGGACAGGATGAAATCACTCCCCCAGTGTAAGTTACTGTGATTGGAATACGAGATCCTGACAAAAAACAACTTAAAGGAAAAAGTTATTTTAGCTTACAGTTCTAAAAAGGGACATAGGCCAGGATGGTAGTGGTGGTGGTGGTGGCAGCAGGGTGATCATATTTCAACAATACACAGGAAGCAAAGGGGGAAAACAGGAGGTGTTCCTGGGGTACAAAACCTCATAGCCCGCTCCCAGTAATACAACTCCTCCAGAATATTTCCATTCCTAAAGCAGTGGTTTTCATCATTCCTAATGCTGGGGCCTTTTAACATAGTTCCTCATGTTGTGGTGACCCCCAACCATAAATTAATTTTATTGACACATCAGAACTGTAATTTTGCTACTGAATTGTAATGTAAATATTTTTGGAGATAGAGGTTTGTCAAAGGGGCTGTGAACAACAGGTTGAAAACCACTGTCCTAAAGGCTCATAACTCGCCGAACTGTGCCACTAAGAACCAAAAGGTGCTCAAACACTTGAATCTATGGGGGACATTTTGTATTCAAACCACCACATCTCCCAAGTAACAACACCCATACTGAGTTATCCCCACATGGAAAGCAGAATACCCATCTTAAGTGATAATGATGATGATTTCTCCAGAAGTCCTTGCCTGCTGTCACCTATGTGTACTTTAACCTTCTCATTTGTTTCTTATCTACAAAATCTCAAACTCCCTATCAGGCCATTAAGACAGACTCCAGGTCACTGCCCCACCTCACCGGTACTTCCTTACATGGCTACACTGATACATACTGCTTCCTCTTTTCATGCATGTCCTTATATGCCTACATGGATATATGCTCCTTTCTCTTTACCCTAACCCTTACATGGCTCCACTGACACATGTTCCTTTCTCTGCTTTTGCCACTGCTTCTCTCTGTTTGGTACAGTGAGACAGAAGAAGGGGAGAGTCCACAGCACCCTGGGAGATGATGCTTTTACCCTGAAACTCAAGTAACAAAGTCATCTGCTTGTTCGCTTTTGGCATATTCCATGTTCATCTGAGCGCTACAAGGCTTCTTCTTTCATTTATCTTGGCCTTAATGATCTGTCTTCGCTACTGAGATCTTTTCCAATTAACAGTTATTATAAAGGGTAGAGAGAAATCAGTTTTTCCCTTTATGACACTCTTTATAAAGCTCATTTCAAGTTTCAGAAAACAATGGTAAATAC